CAAGTAACTTTGGTATAACGAATTTTAAATGCAACTTTCTTATGTGTTCTCATTAATTAATTATTATTCAGCTATTTTATATCATTTATTATATTCGCAAAGTAAATAGAATCATTTTAATCGCGTTTTGTATATAGATAATAATAAATAAAATGTCTATGATAGGTTAATATCTCCTTGTAACACTCGGCATATCAGCATGCAAACCGGTTTAACTACAGTTGAAATGTTATATTTCCTTAAACGTATATTAATATAGTTAGTTCTTATTGGCTAGGACCAACTAGTCGTGGTCCTAAAATTTATGTTGATTGTTGAATTTTTAATATAATAGAAATTTTTTTTTTTTTTTTTTTAGAATTCATATTCCTTTTTCTCTCAATAAAAGATAAATATATATTATCACTGCTGTATTAATACTATAGATTGGCGTCTAATTGTTTTTGGGTTGTCTAAAGTCAAAATAGTATTTAGACAAAAAATGTCTAAATGTCTAAATTAATATAAATAGTAATAATAATAATGATTTGCTTTAACTAAAAGTCACGTGGATATACACAAAATATCCACAAAGTTCATTTAAATGTCTATATTAATCTATATTTTTGACATTGTCTAAATAATTTACTTTAGACGCCCATCTATAATCAATACCAATTCAAATTCCGGTTTAACAGCGGGTTTTCAACAAAATTAAGTAAAAATTTTTTATGTCAATGACGAAAGAATTGATAGTGCTGTACTTCAACTTTAATTGTTCAATAGTAATACCAATAAAATTTTCAATTTGAATACCATAATCATCATCATAATAATCGTTCAAATGTCCTAATAATTCGCAAATCATTAGAAATACTTTAAAAGTAGATGATATTTTACAAGAAATAGCGAAATTCAGAAGTGCCGTATTTGTGCGGCCACATATGGTGGGATTGGAAAAACTTCAACTGGTACTTTTAAAAATTATATCTGATGAAGATGATAGTAATGATGTCTAAAATAGCTTTAATTACTGGAGCAAATATTTTTTTTTTTTTTTATTTTAAGAAATAAAACAAAATTATAAAACTACGGTTCAAACCGCGATGGTAAACCACCGGTCGGTGCGGTTCACTGGGATCCCAACTCAATATTAATATCATCAGAAAACTTTTTCGTCGTAATATTATACTTGTAAGATATAATATATGCATAGTTTTACGTAATAGTTACTTACATCTGAATATAATACGATTGTTAATATTTATTAGGAAGGGTAATATCTGCATATTTCGCAATTTTACTATAATTTAGTTTAAGGAATAAAATAAACCAAATGAAAAAAATGAAAAGATAAGGTACTGTAATATATATATATGTGAATAAATTTATAATGGTGGCTAAATTAATCATCCATATACAATTTATCAACTTCATCAATTCTTTCAACATATTTTCCTTTATTATCACTATAATCTAATGTGTGTTAATAAATCATCATTAATAAATCTCCAGCTTTATATGTTCCATCTAATTTATTTTGAGCAAAATCTGTTAGTAATAAATTATTAATTATTAATCTATTAATAATGAGATAGGATTTCTATTCGAATAAAATTTGTTTAATTTGTTATGAATTTGAGTATTCAAAATAATCAATGATTTGAATAAAATGATAATTCGACGAATGAAACAAACGATTTGAATAAGAATTTGTATTATAAATAGAAACTCTAATCAAATTATAATTCTCCTTTATTAAAATCAATATTTAAAAAAAAGAGGATTAAAATCAAGATTATTCAATGAACTATCGTTACTTGCATAACCTTTTAAGTTTTTAATTTTAGTAATTTCGTTATCTAATATTCTACTTGTATGATGTGTTAATGGATGTAATTTGTGTACTTGTTGTGAATTATTAATAATAATACTATTACTAATACTATTATTACTATTAATATTATTAAGAATTTCTAGTTTACTTTTAACAAAATCATAAAGCTCCCTAATAATTGGTCTTTTTGATTGATCTTCATCATAACACCTCTGCATAATAATCATCAGGAATTTCTGGTAATATTAGTGGTTGTAAACCCTACACATATATCAATCATTAAACAATGACTATGAGCTCTATTGTAAAATGGCGAATGGCCTGCAAATATTTCAGTATATTGCTTTGCAAGCTTCATAGATCTTGTCTTCAATACTTTAATTCCATCAAACCTACCTATATAACATTGAATAATTTATACAAATTGCTTTGCAACTTTAATTCCATCAAACCCGCCTATATAGGTGTGGAAGATTTTTTCTAGTTACGCGCACAGTTTCTGGTTACGCACACAGCCTTTGAATCTAACTAAAATGGATCATTTTGGAATTTTTATTAATTATTATTATCTTATCATTATAATTTTTATATATTACCTTTTGAAAATTTTATAACTAGCTGTAATGATGGTTTTCCTATTCATTGAAAATAAAACTGTTAGATTCATTATTCTCATGGTACAATCCTATTGAAATAGTAATAGGCTACTTAACTTTTAAGCAATTCTATTATAGTGTTGCTATGATGGTTTCATTAATTAATAATAATATTATTATTTAGAAAGTAGTAATAACCTTATAAATAACTATAATCAGTCCTTTATAATTAAAAACAAAAATTTTCTAACACGACCTTCCAAGTGGTTATAAGCAACTTTGTCAAGAAATGATTACTTGAATAGAAGTCAGAGTTAAGTAATTAAGTAATATGGAAGAATTGCTTTATACAGTTCTGAACTTAGATGAGTGAAATAAAGATGAAACCTGCGATTTTTGCCCTAACTTTAACAAAAGGAATAAAGCAGTTTCTCAAATTAGAACTCGTAATAAGGTAAGTCATAGGATAGTTGATAATGCTTGTGCTTGCGAAGATTGTAAGGATAAATTTGAGAATGATGAACTACCCAAATGTGAAAAGTGTGGTGAGTTAAAAACTAGAATGAGTTTTCATTATAATTGCTCTGAAAACAATGAGAAATGGTTGCCAGTCTTGCCCCACGAGGAAAGAGCATCCACTAGATATGAACGATAAATAAACTCTTTACGAGAAGAGTTAACCACCACTGAGGAAGCACTAGAGATTGAAAGAGAAGTAGTTAAATTTCAAGAAAAATCAGAAGAGTGAAGCAAAAAGCAAAAACGGGAATTATTAGATCAAATTAAGCAATTAGAAGCAGAAAATGAAAAACTAAAAGGCTTAACTAATCAAGAATTAATCAAAGAAATCAATGAGTTAAAAGTTCAATTAGCACAATTACAACAACAAAATGGTCAGTTAGTTGCTCAAATTGAAGTTAAAGAAACTAAAAAATGACCTTGATTGAAAATAAAAGGTAATTAAAAATTAACAGTTGAAAAAAAAGTAATTATTTGTTTTAGTTATTCTGCCAGTTTTCTTTTTTTTCTTGATTCTTTACTAGAATTATCTAATACTCTTTTGAGAACTCTTTCCTCTTGATAAATTTCATAGGTAATTCTTTCTTTGTCTAAATATATTTGCAAAGGTTTGGTATCTGCTAATTTAAAAATGTAAGGAGCAATTTTTTCACCTTGTTCCTTTTTCAAAATACTTCTAATGGTGCTGTAATTTTTGGGTTCCATGGTAGACTTAATGTAAATGAGTTTCATATTAACTATTTTTATCACTTAAGATAACAAATGGGATATTATAAAACTGTTAATTATGATCACACATTACAAATGACTAAATTTTGATCCCTGAAATCCTTGGTTAATACCAATGTTCACTTTGTCTGGTTTTGTTGCAGCATGCCCATATTATTTGCTTTAGTGTTATTAACTTTATTATTATTATTATAGCAGACATAAGAATTGTTCATTATTCGAAAGAAATTTTTATTAATCATTAAATGACAACATACTGACACTTTTTGCTGGTCCTAATTCTTTCAATCAAATTACTTTGTGAAAAAATTTCCTGAATATTGACGTTTGTCTTTGTGAATATACAAGCAATGGAAATTGTGGTAATTAAATTAACATTAATCGAGGCTTTTATTATATACATACATACATATATATATACCTACCTGTGAATTTATTATTTGTAAAGTCAATGGCTTCAACAAAATCATTTTTTTATGATTAGGACATTTAAATAAAGATGGGATTAAACATAATGCAGCTAGTGTTAAAATACTAGCTATAGTTGCAACTAATTATGTAAAGCTAGCTAGTTCTAACTGCATAATTTATTGAAAAAAATAAAATAAATTTTTTATGGACGAAGAAAGTTAAACCATAAAGGAGCTATACCGCTAAATTTGCTAGCTCGTTTTACAGACCTTTTTTTTTTTATTGCTTTAATTCATTGTATACGAAGTATTTAATAATAATTATGTATATATATATACATTTGGTAATCGTAAACACTAACAAATTCGCGTGGATTGGTATGCTATGCAATCATACGCGATATTGGATGTTATAATGGTTAAACCTGGAATGTCTACTTGGAGATGCAACCACTAGCTATTTATCAAGTTTCTGGTGAATTTGGAGACAAAAGTTTTTGATCTTAAAGTTGCAGTATTTGAAAGTATGAAATCTTTCTTAAAAGCGGGCAAAAGTTATTATTGCTTTTTTAATTAATTTGAATAATTATTTAATTGTAATTTTATTTTTTGATAGTGATGATAATAATTAATAATTTTTATTATTATTACTACATATGTAGTGCAAATATAATCTTGTACTCTGCAACTTCCTGAATGGTTGGAGAAAGATGTAAGTTTTTTTTCCTTTCAAATAAGATCTAATGAACTTATGAATCCCGGTAAATGTGAAATTATTATTATATTATCAGATTATATTATTCACCAACATCTTGAAATTCTCGAGACTCTCTTTCTTCGTTTTCTAAATCTTCAAGTTCTAACAAATAATCAATATCACCAACCACCCAATTCCAATTCATTTTTAAATTATCATTTTCATCATTATAATCAAAATTCGTACCCCTAAAAAATTTATTATTATTAAAATAATTATTATCATTGTCACTATCATCTATATTCTTTCTTCTTTTTTCATCTGATTTAAAATAAATTTCTGATGGTGAATCAAAATAGGGCGTTTCAAATCTAAATAATACAATTCTTCTTGATTGATCATTTATCAAGTCTACGTTATCTTTTGTTTTTAAAATATAATCAACATCAGCATCTACCTCTACATCCACCTTAAATTTTATTCCTTCTTCAACACTTTTTAATGTTCTAAGTCTTGCTTCATTAAATGTTGTCGACGATGATGATGTATTAGTGTTTTCATCTTTTGATGATGATTGTTTGACACCTAATTTAATTGTCATCCATTCAAAAATAAAACCATCGTCTTTATTTTTATTTTTGTTATTATCTGAATATAATTCTGAAGCTCCAGTGTTTAACCAAATATCACGTATATTTAAATTATAAATTTTTGATAATTTTATTTTTATTGTGGATTTCTCGGTTGATAATTTATCAAGTTCAGTAATATAACGATTATATAATCTTGGAGTAAACATATTTTCTAATTGCTCCCGATTAGATGGACTTGAAAGTGATGCACATATCTGTTGTACAGCTAACGATGCTATACATTTTTTAAAAAAAAATTAGATAATTTTACTGTATACAATTTTTTTTTTAAGAATGATTTGATTATTATTACCGCCTAACATGAATTCGTCAGGAAAATAAGTTTCCGGTAGTAATCGTCTTAGAAATCTTATAACGAACCATTTACATAATTTATGTTGTAACTCTAAAGGTAAAAGATTTGCTAATAAAATTCTTTTAAATTCTGCCGTATGATATGGATATTGTATTATTCTAGGTGGTTGATCATTATAAAGCCAAGCTATTATTAAAAATGACAATAGTTGTTTTTTACATGATGTATATAAAAGACGTTTTGTTCTAAAGAACTATAATTATAATTACATTTACATTTATTACTGCTTAAAAATATTTAATACATACGAAAATTAATTGAAGATCCAGTTTTATCAGGTGGGGGTAAATTTTCAATTGGTGAGTTTATAAAGGGCGGTGGTTTTGGTAAAGGATCTTCAGGTGGACCTGGAGGTGTAGGAGGTGGTGGTGTCAGTGAAGGAGAAGTATAAGAAAGTCGAGTACTTGTATTAAAGTAGGCTATTTGATGATTTATTTGAAAAATTGATCTTTTGTTGTAGTTTTTTAAACATTGCAAATTATCTTTATAAATGTTTGTTAATATTTTTTTATTCATTTTTTTTTTTTTTTTAAAGATCAATGTTGGTTGATTTATCAACCCCTTTCCACGTGATCTCCTCTTTCATGTGCAAGGCTTATTATTGGTGATTAACAAGTGTTACCCAGTTAAACATATCATATTCTGCCACAACTAAAATAACAGCAGAGGTAATCCCAATCCAGGTTGGCCTAGCATTATTATTTCTTGCACAAGCACCAAATGCCTTCTGTTTTATTAATTTTCGATTTCCATTGCAAACGACACCAGCGACGTTCACCATAGAGATCAAGGATTATGTCGAGACATAAGATAGGTAAGAGCCATATTCATAGACATTAACGACAGCAGACGTCAGAATTCCTAAATTTGATTAGGTAGAGAAGGGTATATAAATATGATGATTTCTATAAATTAATTCGTGGATCGCGAACCATTACTATTACTAAGCCAAGTTCTTCGTCACCTATTTAAGAGGGTGAGTGGGTAAACAAGTTTCTCTCAACCTTCCACGATTTTTTTGAAAAAAAAGATATGTATCTCGTTTATAACCCCCTTGTTTATCATTTAAATCTCACAGATGAACTGGAATGGATTTCCCTATATATATAAACTTTACCTCATTTATATCCCAATTGAGTCATATCCCTATCCCCAAATTTTTGGCATATCCCAATTTTAACCTTATTTGTACATGACGTGTAAGGGAAATTAGGTATCTATATATACCATTGAATCCACCTACTGATGAAATATTATTGAAGATATTCTTGTTTCAGAAGGTGCTTGGTAACCTGAACATGTTGAAGTGGGAATGGGAGTGTAAGAAAACACGAGTGAAAAAGAACCAGTTATTTCTATAGAAGAAGGAAGGAAAGCATTTGAAACTGCAAATAAATTCTTAGAACAACAAGAATTTGCTACAGGAAAAGATGTTAGGTATGTTGGTGAATCAATAAAACGTTTAAATAATTCTGTAGATAAAAGCAAAACTCCAATCTTTGTTGACCGAATTCATTAAATATTAAAAGTTTTGAAACTTCAAAATCACGTGAAATGATCAACTGTTTGAGCTATATCCCGAAGGGGGATATAAAAGAGGTTTATATTCCTAGTGGTATTATTATTCCCGGCTAATATATATATACTAATACTAATTCTAATACTAACACCCTGTTTATTTGCGCTCCCGTTACAATATAGTGGACTAATGTTCACTCCATTTATGATGAACTAGACACACGATGCAAGCATCTACGAATGTATAATTGATAATTGAAGATATTAGGAATAAATCAAAATTATGAAAAAGAACAAATTGAAAACCACGAGACGTAAATCTAATAATAATAATGATCAAGGAAATGCTTCTTAAAGAAATTTTCAGCACTAGATTAAGAATTTTGTGAAAGTATGAAATGTTGGAAATTTTATTTCGAATAGGATGATCGCATGGTAACGGGAGCGAAGAAAATGAATATAATCTTCCTAGAAAACTCGATCTCTTATTGTTTTTTACAGTTGTTAACTGAGAAAATGCGCATATAAAGTTAGTTTATCTTTCCAGAATTCAAGTGTTTATTTTTAAATTACAGTAACATCTATATAATGAACCTCATTTAACCGAAAGTACATTTATACCAAAATCTATTGGGATTTATTTTTCATATTAATATGAATACTCGCTCATTATACTGGTATAACCAAAGTCTATATTAATATTAAATTTACCTCACTACACCGAAACACGTGATCACAAAAATGAATTCTTTGATATGATTGGTGGGTGAACAATCTAATGACATTGTCAGATTCTGATGAGTAAGAGAACTTTGTATTACTTATATAGCGAGGCTCTTTTGTTTTTGGAGCAACAAGATGATGAATTTGGAATTACAAATAGATTTATATCAGTTGTTTGTGGAATTCTTAGAATATGTAAATTTAATTTATGCTTGCCGACTATTTTAATGAGTAATTATATTCAATTTCTCTATAACGAAATTTGTTAATAAATTCGGTAACGTATAAACCGAAACCTCTCTATAACGAACATGGGTGACGTTTCGTTATATAGAGGCTATACTATATTTAAAGTCAACTGAAAAGTTGTTTTATAACTTTAGATTACTTTAATATTTTAGTTATTTAATGTAATCAAATTTAAAATTAATGTGAAAATTTCATTAATTTAATAATTATATATATATATATAATATAATAACATTTAAATTTATTATTTAATATTCCAATAAAAATATCATAATAATAATATTTTAGTTGAGCATACATATTTACAAAATAAACTATACCAAAAAAAATTATCCTACAAGGGAAAAATTAAAAATCTACCAATCTAATTTTAAACCTTAAAAGATTGATCACACATATTGATAAATACAAATTAAAATTACCGCAAAAAAATGCTTTAATTTCAAAAAATGTTTTTTGATGAAGATTTATTGTACTTCTGTTGTTAAAAGACCTATTTTAAACATTATTAATAAACATAATCAAAAACATATTAATTAGCATTTATAAATAGTCACATAGAAACAAAAGGAAACAAATTTACTTACTTTCAAAATCACCATCATCTTGACGAACTCCGGTATACAAAACAGTCGAACGTCCAGAATTACGAATTTCACTTTTCCTTCTTCTCCAAAATGCAATTGATAATGTAATGTATGTGATGATTAAAACCATTGAATAGATAAAATAGCCACCAATGTATGTTTTAGAAACATTGAAAAGATTAAAACCAATTGGGATTTGTACAAATGCAAGGATGACAACAAATCTTCCGAACCACCTTAAACATTTATTTTTATAAATAAATTAATATACGATTATATATGTATATATACTTATATATATAGAATCCTTACCAATGAACTTTTGTCCACCAAGGAATAGATTTACGTTCTGGGCTATATAAATGATGATGAATGGCTCCGATTAAAAGTTGAACAGCGAAACAAAATGTTAAAGCACCTCCAATAACCTAAGTGTAAAATGAATTATTATAATAATAATTAATATTTTAAATTTATTGGATTTTTTTTTTTTTATTAAAAAGAAAAAAAACTTACATGATGCCTATTTTCAATATTGAATTTTACACCAGCAAGGTATGTCATCGCTATACCGACAATTGATAATGGTAAAGCACCCAATGTCTGAAGACCCCAATGAAGAGCAAACCAACGTTTTGGTAAAATATTTCTAGCAAAACGAGCAATAAATATACCACCAGGAACAATAAAACCCCAAGAAACAAACATAATTAAACCATGCATGAAAATAAAAGTGTCACGTTCAGAATATGGTAATTTAGTAGTGGTAGTAGTGGTAGTATCAGTGCTGGTAGTGTCTATAGCAATATCAAAACTGCCAAGTGCATTATGCCTTTCAATTCCCATAGTGTTTGGATCTTCGTCAGGCCGTTCAGCGTCATGGATTGCCCAGATGTAAGTGGTTGAGTCGGTTGTAATTAAAGAGCCATTGACAGATAATGGACGTCTGAAAAGTACCACCAATTTATTTCCTTGAATGCCACTTGATGGATCTAACATTATATCATGTTGATGCTTTGTCACTATTGGAACTTCATATCCTTTGGCAATACGTTGCGAAATTATAACACTGCCATTCGCACGAGGCCATGCAATCTAATTAAATAATTAATTAAAGGAATAAGTGTTTTAAGAAAAAATCTCTAATATATTATACGAGAAAGAGAGATAATTATCAATGAAAACAAACTTACCACCATATAACTTCCAATCATATTTCTCCCAATTCCCATTGACATCCATCTATGATTGAACAAATAATTAAATTTAAATCATAAACATCATATAGTATATAGGTTAATACATACCCGACTGTTGATGGTGCTTCCATTCGAAATAATGCATAAGTTTCTTTTGGATCAAAAGAAACATTAGGAATTGATACAGTCAAACAAAATTGTGATTCCCTATCACAGTGAAATTTTTGTGTAAAAATGCCTACATGAGTTGTTTTTCAAAGAAGAATTAAGATAAGTTTTTTGATTTTTAAAAAATATAATAATACTTTTTTTTATTCGGCTATTTTACCTTTTAGTATGGTTGCTAAGCCCACTAAAAATGATAATAAAATAATATTTCGTTTAAATATCATTTTGTTTAATAATTAATAAATAATAATAAAGTCTGGAATAATAAGTTTGAAAAAAAGAAAAGAAAAAATGAATATTGAAATTGAAAAGAAATTTTGTAAAAGAAAAATAGTAAGGAAGATTTTGATGAGGCTGTGATGATACTTTTTCTGATGCTTAATAAATAAAAATAAATAAATAGAATTCTCATAATAGTAATTGGAGTGTCACTCACTAATAATCTAAAAATGTAAAAATCATACTAATTACTCTTTTTTTTTTTCTATGATTCAACCAAATAAATATTAAATTTTACAACGGTAAAAATACTAATTTCTTAAAATATTTTATTATGTTACATATATGTTCATATTTTTATTTTATTTTACAAACAAGCCCTATTTTTAAATCATTTTTAAATAATTGAAAGATTAAGAAAAAAAAATCAATCCAATATTATTTTTTATTGATGAAGTACTGTCAATCTATCAAAACTCTCCATGTTTGAAAATTGCGTGATGAATTGATCAATTTAAGTTTTTTTAAAAATCTGTTTTTATGGTCATGCAATGTGATTAAAGTTTTGTTTTTTTTTTTTTAAGAAATAAGATTTTATTAAATTCGTCTGAGAACTCTGGATTCAATACTAATCCCAACATAGTAAAAATTAAAGGTCTGCCAGCTCGATTATGACTTAGCCACTCTATATGCGCTAGCTACCCACTGTTCAAATCACCAAAAAAGGTAAATATGACATTGAGCATAGCCAACCATTACATTAGACAGTCTGATCGTCAACCTGCCACATAAATAAGCCGCAGGTGTGACAATATACACGGATTCATTTGTCATTTGTCATTTGTTATTATTTATTATATTATTTATTATTTATTATCCATATCATAGTAGTGTCAAACTTTAACCACCACCATAATCATGTTTAGCATGTTTAGAATACGTGATTACGCTAATGTAAATTAAAAGCATTTTTTAAAAAGTTTGAATATGTTTTTTTATAACTAAATTATCAATAAAACTTATTTTAACTAGATTCAAAATACTGCTACTGGATCAATGAGAAACAGTAATCAAGCTGTTCGCATCAATTCAAATCGTCGTATAACAAGATCTGCTACAGCAGTTCTTAGTAACCAGATACTAGCTCGTAGTACCTCACGAACTACAAGTCTTAAGAATAAACGACAACAACAACAACCACCGCCACCAAAACAACAACATCGACCAGCACGAGTTACTCAACCAGAGGGATATACCAAGAACATTGAAAAAAATACAACTTTAATATGTATGAACTGTGAAGTTAAACTGAAAGATAGGCTGTTTGCTTTAGATTGTGGGCATGTAAGTTGTGGAGAGTGTCAAAGTCAATTCAAAACACACAAAAAATCATGTCCTGGTTGCGGGAAAAAAACAAAGCAAATTTTACAATTATTTGCATGAACAAATAATGATAATAACAAACAGTAACAATGCAATTATTTAATTAATTAATTATATTAATAGAAAAATACATTTTTATTATAGAGATATTAAAAATCACATGATTTTTCTTTTCATATTGAACATTATAATTTTGTGTTAAAAAAACTTTTGCATAATTTAAATTATACTGGTTATAATAAAATATATTATTACTTTTGTCCAAATATATTTTAAATAATCTAGCTCTTTGTGATAGACTAGATGTAAAATCTAAAGAGTTGTGTACTATATCAAAAATCATGGTTTTGTTGGAACGGGTGAAAATTGTGAAAGGATTCAATTAGTCGTGGATTTGTCTTTGAAAAATTGATAGGATATTGATTCAAAAAACAAGATTTTTTAAAAAAATAGAATTTATAAATAAACAAATATTTATAAAATATAAAATTAATATGATAGGAAAATAATGGGAAAATACCTTGTCATCCTTGTTATCTTTATCTTCAACTGAATTCTCTGAAACAGCACCATGAAGGCACTGATGCATATATTTTACATTTTTAAGCTCTTAAGAGATTTTCTAATTCATCAACATCCTTTCGACTAGAATTTCATCATCATTGCCACCGCTATTAGAAGTTATTTTTGATAATGATGCTTTTGTTTGTGCGTTATAATCTCTAGCACATTCACATAATAAATAGCTTTTAATTCTTTGTTTAGAACAGCATATATAAAAAAATGAATTATCACTAACACTACTATTATTGTCATTATTGTGTTTTGGTTGATTCATGGTATGTATTTAAATATTTATTTATTCTCTATGCTTTATAATACCAAGTTTTTTGTATCAATTCTATTAAGATCATTAATCTCATTATAATTTGACTATTTCTTGATATATTTTCCACCAAAAAAATTTAACCTTAATTACGTTGAATTATGTTTAAGTGTTTTCATTATGTTGAATTTTGTATATGCTACATAATTATAAACAAATCAAGATCTTCTGTCAATTGTTCCGATTTGTAATATTGACTTTTGCTGTAGCTTCCTATATATATATATCAAGGATTATAACAAATAAATAAATTATAATATTTTGACAAACTAATATATATATATATATATATTTAAAGAATAAAGAAAGTATATTTTACCATGTCTTCCTTTACAACAAATTTTTTGCCATAAGCTTCTAAAGATGCATCAAATCAATGAATCTTCAGCTTCTGAATCTAAAGCATTTTCAAGGTTTTTTATTGCATCTTGAGCTTTTAAAATGTAAATTACCAATCTGTATTTTTAAGAGATATAGTCAATCATGCCAAGTTATAAATTCAAGAAATGATGCTTTTTATTGACAAGATTATGTGAGAATAGACTATAATTAAAAAAAAATCACCTTCTAATAAATCTAATCCAACTTTTTTATTTTTTCTTAAAGTCATTTATAATACCTCAACACCAGTATTGCCATCTGCACCTAGTTGCAATTTAAATGCATAAAAATGAATATTTGGATAGTATCATCAATTACAGGTTGACGTAAAGTTTCTTGATGTGGAGTTCCAGCTGCATATAATATATATTATCCCATAAATAAATATTTTAAGTGTTTATATGTATCCATGCACTATTATCACTATAGTTGTTGTAACTATAATTATAAATTATCTTGAAGCAGCAAATTTGTCTAATGCAACTTGCCAAGATTGTTTTTCAAATAGTAAATATCCAGATATTAAATAAGAAGATGCATATTTATATGTTAGTGATTTTTTTGTAAATAAATTCTAAATGTATCATTCTCTTGAAAAATTAAATCTGAGTTTCCAACACAGTCCTAGTATATTTCTCTTGAACACAAATGTTCTAATTTCTTGGAGAATTTTCTTGCTTTTTAAATGATATTTATTGCTAGTAGAATTTTCATTTCCATTGCATAGCTCCAAGCACACTCAATATCAAATAATACAATATTAAATATGTAAAAATCTATTATAAATAAATTTAATCTTATGAATTGATGAAATATATTTTTTAAAGATATATATTACAATGATTTATCTGATATCATCATTTTTTTAGTAAATCTTCCTTTGCCATATGTAAATTTTAAAGATGATAGATTTTTTGGTTGCAGCATTTTCTATATCAAATTAATTTTTTTAATTAAAACAAAATTAAAAATTGAATGATAAATAAATATATATATTAATCATACTATAATGTGTATAGCCTTGATATCTAAGTCTATATGTGTTTTTTATTTATTGAAACTTTTCTTAAAAAAATTAATTGATTATTAAAAAACCATGCATCAATACTAATCTTTGTTCAAAGAAAAAATAAATTAAGGAGTGTACTAACTATCAAGTAGATATCTTATCTTTTTATATGGAGGTGGAGCTGCCTATTTTTACGTTGAAAATAGATTTTGCATACTTGTTAAGTAAATAACATTTTATTCTATGAAATGTGTATAAGTAATTGTATTGATGATAATGATAATACAGATTTAGTTGTTGACTTAATAGATAATAAGTACATTAAATGTGCCAGTATCAGTATCATTTTTCTTACTGTTCAAATTATTATTTGAATACATATTAGAGAAATCATTTCATAATCAGATAGAGATGTCTAAAAAATGTTTTGGTGAGACATTTAACTTTAATAATATATGTTAATTAATATTAATATATTCTTGATAAAGAAAACTGTTGATTTGTATATATTATGTAATATTTAATATAAAAGAATTATCTTTTAATGAAATAAAGATAGCTTGTATTTTTGCAATAATTAAAATATCGTAGAAAATGTATTTTGACTGACAAACATTTATCACGTGAGGGAATGCAAGTAATTAATTGGTCCTAAAAAATTTAATATTGCATTACTTCAATTGGAAAAACATCACCCCTCCTGCAAGGTCTGGGTTAAACATGGAGAAAATTGGGCAGTAAAAGTTATCCTAAGAAAAAAAAGTGATGTTGATTATTTAAAAGAAGCAATCAAAGTAAAGTTATCACCCTCTTTGGACAATGTTCCAATTAGTCGGATCATTTTAAAAAGACATGGCGAAGAAACTGAGTTGCGCCCTGGTTTAACTATAGATAAGAACTTTACAACTACCACTGACACACCAATTCAAGTATTAGTAAAAGAATCTGGTACGTAATCAGTTTTTTATGGTTTTTTAACCGCAAAGAAGTTATAGAAATGTATATATTATTTACGATGTTAAACCGATTTTTTTTATTTTAAATTATTTTCATCTGAATTTTTTTTTAACATCTCATAAAGAACAAGGTAAACACGTTTGTGGTTAAGTTATTACGATTATATATGAAAAAACTCATTTAACATTGTCCGATGTTCTTTATTATATATATTATAAAACATGAAGAAAACGGTAAAATTAATGAAATTTTAAAAACTTTAAAAAATCAGAGTGAAAATTTAGAAAATATGGTAAAGAATCGGAATGAAAATTTAGAAAAAATGAGCAAGGAACTCGATGAACGCGAAACTAAAACTATATCAATTGTCACAGGTAAGCAACCGTATTGTTGAAAATGTATTACAAGATTATGGGAACAAACATACGAAAGTACGTTCCGCGATTTCCATTGCGCAAGAATTAATTGATAAGCTATCATTAAATGTTAAAGTTGAGCCAAATGAATTTTCGTAGAGTGATCATAATGAGGGTCATCCTGTAAATACAAAAAAAGTCCTAGAATATTTTCAGGGCTCATTTATAAAACTTTATTGGTGGATGATAAAAAATTGTCAGAAAAAAATTCACCATTTATGTTAAACTTGGAGACATCATCAGGAAAATTTCTTTTCGGCGCATTAGGATCTTTTAATTGATTTCTTTTAAATTTTCGTACTTGATTTCCTCCTCCTCCTGTTGATTGATGTTGGTTATGAACATTACTATGATGCATGCGTCGTGAAATACTAGCAGTATTACTGCTACCACCACCACCAATACTAAAACCAGCAACATTACCACCACCACCAAATGATATCATATTATTATCATTATTGTTGTTATTATTGTTATTATCACCAGGTATAATTCCTACGTCTCTTGGAATAAGTGACTGAAATTCATCACATGCTCTTGCTGCGTATCTAAGAGCATTTGCAACTTGAGTGAAAGCATCAACAAGCTTAAATTACATGTGTCATTTTAATAGATAAAATTTTGTCAATATGCTTGAGTAATGATGATTTTATACTTTTTTATTATTTGGTAAATTTATTGTCAATGGAGAAAGAAAAAAATCGTATTGAATTTTACTACTTACGATTTCTTTTTTATGATTTAATTGTGATAAAAGTTCTGGATCAATATTTTCAGTTGTAACAATATTATTATTATCATTGTTGTTGTTGTTGTTGTTAGGACGCGTGTCAGCGGGCATTTTTTATTATTTTATTTAAATATATTACTTTTTTTTTCTCAAATAAAAAAATAATTATAAAATTTATGAATTGAATTAAAAGAATTAAAAAAAAAAAAAAGGTAATTTCAGAGGAACACAAATTTCTAACAATTTCCAAATATGATTTTAAGGGTAGTATGAGGTCATGCAAATTTTGATTATCGTTATTTAACAATCTATAAATTTAAATTGAATAATAATAAATGTTAAACTAAACTTATATTTCCCCATTCTCTAACTAATTCTGAATTTAAATATCAGTACAATAAATTTGCCTGCCAGTCAAACCCATTCTTAAAACAACAAATGTTAGTTTCGAATCTGCATCTTGTTGTTTTTCAATTGTTAAATACTCTTCGTTTTAATATTCCATTCAAAAGATTTACCAGCAATTTTAAAGATCTCATCCTCTGATTTTCCAATAATGATGGCAACACTTCGGCCAGCTGCCTTGAGTTCCATCTAACTTAACACATTCCATTTTGATATAAATTTCCTTTTTCTGATGCTTTTTTTACTAAATAAATTGTTTCTTTGCTCATTTCAAGCTCGGAGGATTCATATGTCACTCTTGTTCAATGTTTGCATGAAGAGCGAGAATCAGAATGTCTATAAAAGCTTATTTCAAAGCCTCGCCATTTGAGTGCTTATGCAATTCTCAATACATTTTTTCCCTATAGCATTGGTTATTTTACTCGAAGCATAAAAAATATATTATTACCAATACTAGATGATGTACTATACAACACAGTAACTTGGATTATTCCACTGACAGTTTCTTTTGTTTATCTAATTTGTGCAGTATCTGCGTTAATTAAAAAATAAGAGAATTAGAGAGATGTCTTTTTTGATATTTTTTCTAGCTATAGTAATTCCAGTATTCTGGATCGTTTATATTAAAATCACACATGATATCGATTCAATTAGTATAGTATTCATTGCATTATTTGGCTTGTAATAAAACATTGTTACACGTGACTTGTTACAATTCTATTCCTTTGACGGATGATTTTCTTCATTTGGATCCCTATAACTTCATAAAATCATAATAATAATAATAATAAATAATAACAATAATCAATCACATTACATTGATGGCGACCAAATTTCAATCCCTGAAATCCTTGGTGATTCATTTTGTTGCGGTCTAACTTCAAGGAATTTAAATACCTTTTGAAATTGTGCAAAAAAGGGGTATCTACAATGTCGAGGAACTTTCCGGTAATTATAATCCTTCATTTATGAAATGTAATTTTTCGTTCGTGAAGTCAATAATGATGAAATATTTTGTAATTTTTTTAAAATACTCGTGCATTTCTTAATGAATATAATATGATGATAAATAAATATTCAAATTCTGTAATTGAACCGGTATCAATCAATAAATGATATCAAAGATGTATAAAAGTATAAGCATACAGTCAGACTCCTATATAGTCACACACCTCGGGACCATAGTGAAATTTCAAGAATTTTGGTGACTATAGTGTTTGTGACTATACAGGACTTGTTTTTACTATGATTTAACAAAAAAATGTGACTATAATATGTTGCGACTATATAGGATGTGACTATATAGGAGTCTGACTGCAATAATACCGTTAATTTGTGGGAAAAACAATAAATTCTATTTTTTCAATTAACATTATTATTATTATTCAAAATAGAGGATAACTACATGATTATTTATTCTGATTTTTAAAAAATCATTCCGAATATTTAAATTTTTACAGGAAATTTTTTTAAGCAACTTCGTTATAGTATTCCTAATTAAACATTGACATATATTCACCGTTATGATGATTTTCATCACCATGTGAAGAAAATAGATTATAATAATCTTCTGCATATTCTGATGTAAAATTAAACGGGCTATCACCTTCTAAATGTTGGTTGAGACAAGTACGAAGCGAGCATTTTTCTTAATTTATATTTTCTTTCCATGAAATCAACCAGGTCGTCTAGATTTGCAATACCATCATTTATATTATTGAACTTTTTTTCTAATTTTATTTTGTTATCAATTGAACTATTGTATCTGCTACTGAAATCGTTAAATGCTGTTTAGCTCATATTATAAGAAAATCTAGCGATTTTAAATCCAACAGTCCATGATCCCTAATGCAATCTTTCGTTCATTACCATTTAAATGCTTTATTTAATATAGCCTCATTATTATCATTAAACATTATCCATTTTAAAAACCAACATGTTTTTAGATCAGTCAATGGATGTAATGGAGTAAAAATGACCTGGTTGAGAAATTGCTTACAATAGAAAATATTCAATTGGAATTAGTGACGACGCAACAAACTATAGGA